ACAGCTTCCCTGGGCAGCCTGTGCCGCTGTTTCTCGCACGTCGCTGCTTGCCCTGCGTTCCCACGCTCGGTCGGTCACACTCCTGCAGTACACCACGTCTACCACTTCTTAAATACACTGTTAACCTGCATTCACATGTAACGCTGAAGAATCTCTTCTTTCGCCCAAAAAAGTGAAAAAATCACTCTCAAATCATTCCAGATGAGCGAATACTTTAAGACTAACGACACCTCATTTACAGTCCCTTTAATTCTTACCAAATTTATCAAACCCTTCCTAAAAGACAGGGTTATGAACCCAGCGCAGGATCAGCAAAGCCTGCAGCTCCAATCTGGACAGAACTTGGAAGAGCTCGGTGGTAACTACTTACAGAATGTTTCTGCCAACACTCTCTCAGAACGGGTCTCTTCTTTTTATGAACCACCACTTCCTGCATGTCCTCAAGGGAGGGATGCTGGCCAATTTCTTCCTCAAACGGCAGCATGTACTCATCTACTGGGCCTAGAGAGGAAATAAAAAGAAGTTAAACCACAAATTCTGCTTTGAAATAAGGGGGAAAAGACCCGTGTGTTAGAAACAGGGGCCCACGATGGGAATCCCACGGGGCCGTTGTCTTCCTGTGGCCATTCAAAGCTCACCCTACGACACGGAAGGAAGACAGCAGCAGCGAACAGCGAGGTACGGGGTGAGGCCGCCGAGAGCCGGCAAAACCAGGAAGGTGCCTTCCAGATGAAAACCGCATCGGCAGACACACACGGAGCCGACGCTGCGAGGCAGGGGGACTGCTGTCCTTCACCGCCCTCTCCTTTCCTTCCTGGAATAACCACGCCTGCCAGAGAGCTACAACACGCTTCTCCTAAGACGTAGGTACGTGTGTTTTATGGTCCACTGAGGCACGAAGAATCGATACGGAGCGTCAGCCTGCCTCAGACACTTGTTGCAGAATCGTGTCGATCCTGTTAGTAAACAGCTTAACATTTTTGAAAGGGTAAAATCTCCCCAGGGGCTGCTTCTCCGCGAGGTTGTTGGGAGCAGAACAGCCCCGTGCCGCCACGCGCTGACCTGCCGGGATCGCCCACAGGTCTTGGCTTTGCGTACGGTGTCCGGCAGCGGCGCGGGGCTCTGCGGCACAGCAACATCCCCAGCCCCAGTGAGACCCTCGCGTGCCCTGAGCTGAATTTAACTGCGTTGGGCTGTACCGACAGCGCAACCTTCTCCCAAACACTTCTGAGACTTGTCTTTTCTCTTGTTCTTGATTCATCTTGACATATTCTGGACACCCAAAACGATGGCCGCTTACAAAATTTAAGCCTGGTATTCGTACTTGAAACAGGGTATCTGACAGGCCTGACAGCTTAAAGACTGGATCCAAGGGTTTGCTCTAAGAGGAAAAGAACGGTGATGGACCCACAGCTAACGAAGTATCGGCTGCAGGTTGCCCAGGAGGTGCTGTGTTTTCAGTCTCTGAGCTATCAACAGTTAATTTGATCGTGACTGCATGAGCTGAGCGACAGGACGTCAGCGACGAGGAAGAGGGCAGGGAAGCGCTGAACGCTGGCACCGTCTCCCTCTGGGCACCTGTGAGAGACTGTTCTGCATCTTGCTGAGGCCAACTCACCTCCCGATGCACGTAACGTATAGAATCACAGACTGGTTTGGGTTGGAAGGGACCTTAAAGCCCATCCAGTTCCAACCCCCCTGCCATGGGCAGGGACACCTTCCACTAGACCAGGTTGCTCCAAGCCTCATCCAGCCTGGCCTTGGACACTTCCAGGGATGGGGCATCCACAGCTTCTCTGGGCAACCTGTCCCCGTGCTCCCCACCCTCTGCGGGAAGAATTCCTTCCTGATATCTAATCTAACCCTCCCCACTTTCAATTTAAACCCCGCTACCCCTTGTCCTGTCACTACAAGCCCTTGTAAAAAGTCCCCCCCAGCTTCCTTGTAGCCCCTTCAGGTACTGGAAGGTGCAATAAGGTCTTCCCGGAGCCTTCCCTTCTCCAGGCTGAAGAAGCCCAACTCCCGCAGTACGCTGACTTAGGAAAACCCCCACCTTTTAGCCTCATCTCCCCTCGCTATACTGGGACCTGACGTCGGTGAGCGCCTACGCGCAGCTCCCGCAGCAGCACTGGAAGGTCACTCTCCCAATGCTGAGGTGTGCAGCAGGAGACACTGATTTCTGGGGGGGTATCTTTGCTACCGAGGTTAATCTAGGCTGAGCTTTTCTTTATGAAAAGCAGCAGGACTTCTAAACCGATCGGCACGGAGACTGCGAGAAGAAACAGAGCGTATTAGATTAGGAGTTCCACAGAAATACGCTCTGTCTTACCAGGAGCAGGGGAAATGCAGCAGGTACCCAGCGTGGGAGAAAGCTTCCACCTGGGATGTCAAATACTGGCCAGACCGAATTACAAAATGACTACGTGATGCGGGCGTTCCCTTCATTTCCCCACCCCTACTGAATTTTACTCCACGCGTACAGTTTACCTTCCAGTGTCTGGCTTTAAAGACCCCTCTCACAAATTCAACGTTTCCACGCACCGATACGTAACTTACCATCTGAGGCAGTGCAGCGCGACGCCAATTCCCAGAGGACTAATCCCATGGCATACATGTCTATTCTCAGAAACGCATCCCTTTGGAAGTTTATAGCACCTTCTAGTACCTCAGGAGCCATATACCTTCGTGTACCGACCTGGGGAGAAAGGAAAGCACGGAGGTGTACACCAAGAACCAACAAGAGCACAACTCCCACCCCACCCGGTGCCGACTACAGCAGCGCTGCAGGCCAGCGCTGCTTCCCAACCAGGATTAAAACCAGCCATGGTTACCCTTCCTCGGGACCAAGCCTCCGAAGTGACCTGCATTCTTATATCCAGTGGTAGGTAAGAGGAGTTAGGAACCACCATGTAGACTGGGCCCTAAAAAGGATACTTACCAAGCAGGAAAACCGGAATATATTTTAAAATTATATGTTTCCATAGCGATTCAACCTATCTGCCATTCCTTATTTTCTTCCAGATTATAGGAAGGCCACTACTCTTATTTTTTCATGTCGAAAGAATTATTACAGCTTCACGTAAGGATGCGAAACTCGGTTTTGCTTCTTCGCGGGCCGGGGGCAGGAATACAAACACCCCAGGAAAACCGGCTACCCACAGGAGAGTTTGTACCACGGTGATTCCATGACCTCCCTCGCACAAAGCTGGCCATTAAACTAAAACCTGGGGGGTACCCCTCCTTTTTGAGTGCAGTCGGCTATAAAACTGTGTCACCTGGAGAAATCATAACTTAGATGTGCCTGAACATCTACTCCTCTATTTAAACCTACGTTTCTCTCACGCAGCGTTCCCGAGGTTCAACACCTTATCGGATGGATTTGATTTTTGTCGCTCAGCCACAAACCGTAAAGCTCTGCCTACAATTACATACATCTAGTTTTCAAGCTTGTTCTTTTAAAAGTACATGGTGCTAGAGGGGTTCCCTGATGGATGACAAGTGCTTTCACTTTGGGAAGTTCAGTGTCACCTGGTAGGTCAGAAAGTCGGAGACTGGCTGCCGGTATCGTTCCTCCACTTCCGACCCACATCTCAAACAATTAATAAAACACAGCAAGACCGCTCTGTCTTCTCCAAATCCTCTCGTACCAATGCAAGGAAGATGGGAGAGAGACCATGTAAGGAGATGGGAAGGGGGGAGGGCTGCGATCTGTAATCACTTAAAGAATTGTTTAATTTTTAGCCTGTGAGAAGAATGCCCAAACTGCCACCTTCCTTAAAGGTCACCCACAGCAGGGCTGCTGGTGCTGTGCATGAAGACAGGACAAGGGGTAACAGGTTTAAACAGAAAGAGGGAGATTGAGATGGGACATCAGAAAGGAATTCTTCCCACAGAGGGTGGGAGCACTGGGACAGGTTGCCCAGAGAAGCTGTGGATGCCCCATCCCTGGGAGTGTCCAAGGCCAGGCTGGATGAGGCGTGGAGCACCCTGGGCTATGGAAGGTGTCCCTGCCCATGGCAGGGGGTGGCACTGGGTGGGCTTTAAGGGCCCTTCCCACCCAAACCAGTCTGCGATTCTCTGAAGAACGCCTGAAGTACTGGTTTCCACTCACACGCAGTTAACAGCTGTGATGATTTATGTAAATGAACCGGTCCTTACCTGGCCGTGTGTATCCCCTGCAGACTTTCCAGCCTCGAACTTTAAAGCTAGACCGAAATCAGCAATACAAGCTGTAAGGTTGTTTTTCAGCAGCACATTCTTGCTTTTGATGTCCCTTTCAAGTTAAGCAAAAAAACCATTAGAAATCTAGAATATGACATAACCACGTAAAATTCTACGGAACAAGTCATGTAGCAAAACAAAGAACATTATAATCTGAAAGGCAAGAGAACTATAAAGAAGCAGTCCATCTAAACAACAGAAGATGAACAGTGACTCCTAGGAGTACACTGGCACAGCTCTGTTCTTATGGAAATACATGAGGCCGCAACTGGAACGATGATTTTATGCTCAGTTTTACAATACCTACACGTTTATAAGCCTTTATGATACAGCAGTAGAATAAAAACGTAGTTACTACGTACTTGGATTACACACACGTTTTATTTGTTCAAATAGGAAGAAAAAAAACGCCTAGAAAAATGCATCTTGATCGTTTCTGACAAGGAGAGACATGATTTCCTGCAGAACCCAAAGATAATGGACTCGACCCAGGGACTCCCATCCAACCTGGGTGTACCTCTCCCTCATTTTACCATCAGTCAAGCGGTTTTGCTCATGGAATTCCAAATTCCACGGAATCTCTCCCTCTCTTACTCTCTATGCCCATCTTCCAGTTTGGTTGCCACTGTCATTTCAGCTCCCTGCTTCTATTCCCAGCTTTCTGCGCCCGCGGCACCAAACGAACGACTCTCGCCAGCAGGCAAACCCCACCTGCACGGAATGTCTGTCCGACGGCTCTCCGTGCCACTTACAGCTACGTACACCGTCTGCGTTGTTTCAAATGGCGACAACATCAATTATTTCATACACTGCACATACTTAAATTCCTTTGTTATACACTGAGTGACTACATTAACCGCCATCACCTCACCAAATTCTACAAACCATCAGCTACACTTTTTTTTTTGCTTAGGTTGAGCAGATTTTTCTTATGAGGCTCTTGGTACTTCCGGAAGGAAGATGCCACAGAATATTTAATTGAACACTTCCCATCTACCCACAGCTTTCATCCGTTAGCGCAGATATAAACAATCACCTGAAAGTACCTGACATGTACCGTACCTATGCGAGATGGCAGGTTTGTGTCCATCCTTCAGCCCTGGTATATCCTCGTGAAGGTAAGCCAAGCCTCTAGCCATCGTCTGAGCGATGTGACACAGCTCATTCCAAGAAACCACATTAGCCTTGAGGAAGTCGGTTAATGAACCCTGCAGAGCAAGAAGGGAAGACAATCGGAGATCAATTCCACTCTCATCTACTCGAAGAAAACTTGTAGACGGCCTCCACCGTTAAAGATCACAACATGCCTGTCTGCCTTTCTGACAGACCACGTAATGGTACGTGTACACACACCATCAACTGCTAAACAACAATGAAAAATTAACTGTTGCATCACCCCTAGTCCATGACTAGAATCAGGATGTGTTGACACACCACCTCAACAAGCAAACAGCGCAGCAAACTCCGGTTCAGTGGCGCTTTGCCCCCGCGCTCCACTGCCAGCGCCAGAAACGGGAGCTGGACTTAAGATATTTGAGTCCTTTATGAAGACACTCCTGCTTTTACGAGGGTGATTTATGACCTTCCAGGCACAGGGAACTGCAGGTTACGTTCACCCTCGAGAACCCTGCACATTCTCCAATATCTTCCATGGACAGCCTACGGCCTTCCCCAGCAGACAGCAACAGACAACTCCAGTTTCACAGTACAGTTTCAGAGTGGAGCACATACTCTGAGTAAATGTAGGAAGAGAATGCAAAGTAAAAACCCAGCCAACAGAAAGCACTTCAGACCGCTTCTATGGCGCACTCTACACACAGGCGGTCCTGGACTTGCCCAGGTGGTGAGACGCCGGTGTCCCACGCGACTGTGCGAAAAGCCAGCACACGGGGGAGCCGAGCACGAAGCGCTGTCCAAGTGCACAGGCTACACCCTAACAATGAAGTTAGAAATGCGTGTTTTCCATCAGAGCCGTCTTAGAAGCTGTCTTGCCAACAGTAACGAGCTTTGAAACTCTACGACAAGAAAACAAGCAGCAAACAAAAATGGCAAGGACCTTTCAGAAAGGCAAGTTAGTTTGGTATTATTTAATGTATCATGAAGATGTGTCAAAAAATGGCAAGTGTTGGATAGTTATAGTCTGCTAAATGATTAAAGCAAAGTCGTAAGTGGGGAAAAAAAGCCAGAATGAAGAATCACAGAATGGTTTGGGTTGGAAGGGACCTTAAAGATCATCCAGTTCCAACCCCCTGCCATGGGCAGGGACACCTTCCACTAGACCAGGTTGCTCCAAGCCTCATCCAGCCTGGCCTTGGACACTTCCAGGGATGGGGCATCCACAACATCTCTGGGCAACCTGTCCCAGTGCTTCACCACCCAACTGAATGGAACATTCAATACTAGAAACGTGATCTCTGACCGAGCCTTAATCCATCAGCATATCCATATTATACAGACTTGTATTTCCTCAGGCCTGCTGCAGGTAATACCTTCTAACGCCCCTCTGCCTCTGCCAGTGCTAAATATCAGTTTGAGGCTTTTTTTGCTCTTGGTACTTATATCTACGACAGTTATGTGCATTAAAAATATATTAAAAAATAATAATCTAAGTGGACAAAGTGAAACAGTGAACATTTTCTGAATTATTTTATATATCTATAACTAAATATATAAATATATAACTAGTTATACTTCTTACTGTGGTTATCGCTATAGAACTGCTACATCCTACTTCATTCTTACAGATACACATCAGCCAACACAAGTAAACCAAAACATCAACCACCACCATCTTTGCAAGATGGAATTTACTTGATTCAGGCAGATTTAGATGGGGGATATTCCAAAATACACATTCTAAAAAGCAAAAGAGTGGAATAAATTTTTGTTTGCTTTCTAAAACAATTCCTCTGTGATAACAACTTTCTCAGCTGGCTGAAAATAAATTTCAATAGATCCATATCCAAGAGAAAAGCTAAGAGGAAGCAAAACTGTTTTAAACTGCATTTCTTCATTGTCGATAGGAAGCTGACGTTTCAGATTTCTAAGGTTTTTTTCATAACCATGACACAACGACACTACGCTGAGGACCCAGCATACCTTCTCATGAAACGCCGTGATTAGCCAGAGATCGACATCAATGCTCGTGCCTCGTTTCTCCGCACCGATGAACTGCAAAATATTGTCGTGCTTCATCCCGGGTAAACTGTAAATTTCGTACTCGTTCTGCCATGACTGTTTGTCCTTTGAACACAAGAAGACAGCAAACCGAGTTAACACCATGGCATGAAGAGGTGCTTTCCCCAACAGAACTCTGTTATCTGCTCTGCATTTGTAAATGACCTCTCAATCTGACTAAAACACTTTCTTTGACCAGACAGGATTTATTACCTAAAGGAAAGCCAGCAGAGTGTATACTATTAACATTGTGAGGCTGATTATTTTAAAATCACAAAAGTTTAGGCTGGTAACAATATTTGTGCTACAACCTACTCAGCTAACATATGGAAAACATGAAAAGCTGTCTGTTTTTACATATATTGCATATTCACATGAAGAATTGTCTGTACAACTGCAATTTCTTGCAAGCAGACATCAACTGTCGGAAACAACCTCAACTACCACAGATATGAACCACGGAAACCCAAACCTGTAGCTGAGGATTGGAGTCCACACACACACACTTCTTCACATCAAGGAGCAGTGGGTGTTTTTAATTAATATAAAATCTACCCTAATATTGTGTGTGATCACTTTGTAACCTTTAACTGGGCTGGATCTTCCAAATCATGAACACAGTCTATTCTAAACCATGGCTTTCTGAGAGTACTTGCTGGGAAGTGAACATTATTTCAATTAACTGAGGCATATTTAATTGGAACAATCACCTTACGGCTTTGCATTTCAGGACATTCCTTACAAGCACAATTTAATTTGAAAAATATTAACCAATTCTTCCCAGATGACAGAGAGATGTGTGAGAGCTGCTTAAAACTATTCATGACAAATATGTATTTTTGTGACTAGAAACACCTACATTTCAGCTTCAGACATTTCCTGCATTTCAGAATTCCTTTAAGCCATCTAGTTTTACAGTATATATTGAAAATTTTATAAAATGAAAGCCTCTTACTGTGACTAGAAAAGGTGGTTTAACAGCACGCTATTACAAAGCAACACTCAGAACTTCTGCTTACCTGAACAGGGAATATTTTGACCGCAACATACTCATTGAGTAGTTGAGCTTTCCACACACACCCAAATCTTCCCCTCGCTTTGATCTCCAGTAACTGCAACGGCTTCAACCCCATCAACGGTGAAGGTGGTGGTGGTCCAGGATCCTGAAATCAGGTTAAAACCATCAATTAATTTTGGTATTGTATGTGCCATCTATGATGACAGCACTAGAAATAAAGGCTTGTAAACCAAGAGAGTTGTGGTACCACATACCCATCCCCTAGCAACAAATTCCCCCAAACCAACGAGAAACAAACCAGCAGCCCTTCCCCATGGGGAAGGAAAATGAGGTTGTAGAACATGCTCAGCATTAATGTGCAAGTGACAGCGTAACAGTTACAGTACAAATCTGTCCAACCAGGTGTAAAAACACAGCGGAGATGAAGGAATAAAGATAATGAAGTTTTACTCGTTACCTTTTTAAGTGATAGAATTAAAATACGCACCTCTGACACATTTACAGGGGGGTTTGTTGGACACGTGTGACCCGTTTAACCCCTCAGTTCAAGGGCCTGGTGACTTGGCTCTACAGAGCCACACAGTCCCAGCAGCCGGGCAGCAGGAGACGCCTACGATAGCAATTTGGCTGGGGCAGCAGCGCGGAGCTGAAGGGAGCCCCCGCATCATCTGCAGCCCCCATGTTCCAGTTCAGTTCTCATAAGCCACTGAGCTGATGCCAGCACAGCTCTGCTTCAACAACCACTGCCTACTGGGGACACAGGGTTCCAAACCAGTACGTAGGCAGCCCATGCCACTGCGGCATCCTCGGGCACGTAACCAACATTTCTCTGCTCAGAAACCACACGCCTCGTGCAGGCGTTTGGCAGAGGAAACCAAACATCATCATCTCCACAGCCAGCGCGGTGAGCCACGCGGGTTCCTCGCGTGAGGAACCGCAGCACCGATGCTTCAACCTACTGACCCTCTTCCCCTGCTCCCAACCTGTGCTAATGCCCACAACCTACCGACCCTCTTCCCCTGCTCCCAACCTTTGCTAACGCCCTCAAACTATCAACCCTCTTCCCCTGTTCCCAACCTCTGCTAATGCCCTCAACCTACCGACCCTCTTCCCCTGCTCCCAACCTTTGCTAACGCCCTCAAACTATCAACCCTCTTCCCCTGTTCCCAACCTCTGCTAATGCCCTCAACCTACCGACCCTCTTCCCCTGCTCCCAACCTGTGCTAATGCCCTCAAACTACCGACCCTCTTCTCCTGCTCCCAACCTTTGCTAATGCCCACAAACCAACATGTCACCGAAACGCGAGCACCTGGCTGTGCCCCTGGCCTGGAACTGGAATTACGTTTAAGAGAATATCTTGCTCTGTCTCAGTGTTTATACCCTGCTGCGGGGCTAGGCCAACAGTTCCTTCTCCAAGACGACACCACAACCTGGGAAGGAGAGCTACAAATGCGGTCAGAGCTTCCACACAGCTATGCACAGAACCCCCAGCCTTACTAGAGATCTAACAAGTTCCCCTTCTGGGAAAGAAAATGCGGCAGCTTATTTAATGTCTTGTATTCCATACCGTATACATCTCTTACACACTATATCACACACATCAACAAGTCGACTTTCAACGTTCCTGCCAAAGATGTGCTTCCTTCTGGGCTGTCCTTTTCTCTCCGATCTACCACGTTGGGTTATCCTGAACCTCTCAAAGCTTCTTCCCTACCCCCAACATCAGAAGGATATTGACCATTTGGAGCTAGTCCAGAGGAGGCCACGGAGATGCTCCGAGGGCTGGAGCACCTCTGCTGTGATGAAAGGCTGAGAGAGTTGGGCTTGTTCAGCCTGGAGAAGAGAAGGCTCCGGGGAGACCTGATTGCAGCCTTCCAGTGCCTGAAGGGGCTACAAGGAAGCTGGGGGGGACTTTTTACAAGGGCCTGTAGTGACAGGACAAGGGGTAACAGGTACAAATTGAAAACATGGAGGTGTAGATTAGATGTCAGGAAGAAATTCTTCCCGGAGAGGGTGGTGAGGCACTGGGACAGGTTGCCCAGAGAAGCTGTGGATGCCCCCTCCCTGGATGTCTTCAAGGCCAGGCTGGATGAGGCTTGGAGCACCCTGGTCTAGTGGAAGGTGTCCCTGCCCATGGCAGGGGGGTTGGAACTAGATGGTATTTCAGGTCCCTTCCAACCCAAACCATTCTGTGATTCTATGAACAAACACATCAGGCCCATTTAGCTCCACATCCAAGCGTACTACTCTACGCACAGCACCAGAGAAACACCATCTCTGCTCTCTCATCCCTGTTTTCTGCAGGAAAACAAGTCAAGTTCTGGGGCATAGTGGTCACTAAGCAGCACTACCAATTCTGTCACCACAAGAAACAGCTCCACCTTCCTTCCACAACCCCCTCAAGTCCGATTGAATTACTACAGAGCACTGCCAATGCAGCGGTGACAGCGTGGGGCAGGTTGCTAGACCAGATGGACAGAGTGGGAACAGCCACTTTTAGAGGCCACGTAGGTCTACGGAGACCACAAAATTGTACAAGTCACAATATTCCATATGAAAGAAAAACTTAAGAATGAAAGGTAGCTAACCCTTTTAAATGACACTCACACTGCAGAATGGAATGAAAACACCCCTAAGCTCCACTGCTGAAAACCCCTCCAAACCCACACTCAGCTTCTCTATTTTTGCCCAGTCCCAGCTGTAACGCTGCTTTGAAGAACGAAAAACACTGGCGTAGTTGCTCCTACGAACGAGTGGACTCAACAGTTCAGTATTTGAGCCTTTCAGTCAGCAACGTGCACACGATAAAGACGTTTTCTGAACATCTACAGTTCTAAGTACACTTTGCGACTGTGAGAATGGAGTCAAGTGCTTCTCTATCCAACACAGCTTCTGAGTAGTTTAAGCCCAGAGGTAAATAACCATCCTCTTGTTTCTTACTAAGCAACAAACACAGCCTTCAAAAAAGTTTCATAGACAGATTTATGGCAATTTAAAAAAGACTGTAACCCAATTCCACAAATTAGTAACTGCAAAACAAGTCTGAAATTCAAATTTGAGACACACTCCAATGCTATGCTGCAAAAAGTATGAAATCCTTTCGCAAATATGACAGCGACAGACGCTTCAAGTTCTTCTATCAAAATTACTGGGTTTAAAGTGACAAACAACAATACAGAACATGTAGTTTAAGAGTTAAGTGCTCCCTCCCGTGGTGCCTTCCACTCAAGGCCCAGGCAGTTTACTGCAGGCACCAGGGAAATCACTGTCCTCAACTTGGAAGAGTTACAATCAAAACTACAAACAAGATGCCCAAATTTACTCACAAAAGCCTATTTTAACTTGTAAAAAAGCCCTGTTATTTTTAAGAATCCTGAGCCCTGTGCAGCATCTGGGGATTTTTTTTTAAGGTTTTGAACCTCAGGAGTCACCTAAATTAAGAGAACAGTTTGTGGGAATTAACCCAAATCTCGCTTTGCTTTAGGGGCTAAAACAATTCCCTTTCCATCCCCTCCACCTAAAAAATCTGCCAGTATTTCAAAGCACACTAGATGAATTTTTACCCAACCATCAAGCAAATGACCACTTAACCAACTGTATTCAAAAGCCAACCGTATCCTGGGCTGTATCCAGAGCAGTGT